GAATTAAACTTCCTTCCCTTATATCATTAACTTTCATGTTAAAATTAATATAGTGTTCATTTAATTTTTATCTTAAATATATAAATTAAAAGTGTAATAAATATAATTTTTTATAATTAATTTATATTAAATAATTAAAAAATAATTAAATTTTACCAATCATCTAATTAAAAAATATATAATTAAAAGTAAAAATGAAGACAAGCTTTATAATTTTTTTATAGAGATCAAATGTTAGAAGTTGTGGCACAAATTAAACAAATCTTTAAGTTTAATGCGCTATTTCACTTAAAAATTTATTCTTTCAAAAAAGAAAAAACATTTGAACAATGATTAAAAAAATTAAGATTTTTTTGACAATTAGGATGTTATTAATAATAATTAAAAAACAAAAATATCTTTAATAAAAGCTTAAGTATTGGAAAGGACCCCAACATTTACCAAATTCTCAATTAAGGTCCTCAACGTTTATTATGCGTAATCAAGGTCTCAAACTCATGCAAACTCTCAAATAAGGACCCAATTTGATGAAATCCTACCCATCCGTTAAGTCTAACATGATGCCCGCTATAATTCGTTACACCCCTCAATATGTGGCATGCCAACTGGACTTAAGATCTTGCACGACCAGTCGTTGAGCGGAGAATAAGAAGATCTCGCACAAACAGAGGCTGGTCATTATGGATCCAAACCCAGTCTGTATCCCAACAAAAGCCATCACCTTGTGCCTCTTCAATCCATTACCATTTCCCAAACCATTTTCCCCATCATTACCATTTTTTGCATTACCAGAATTACTCTTCTGATCCCAAACAACTTTGACAAATCTTGGATCGACGGTGCGACAACGGTAGGCTCTTTGACTGAGATTGAAGAATTCAGTGAGGGTGAAGATAAAGGCGGAGAGTGCATAGAGGAGCAAGCAGGAGATAATCAAGACCATTAATCTGGAGGGTCGAGTTCGCCAGGAGAAGTGTTTAGGAAATGAATGCATTATTGTTGAGGCGGAGAAGGAAATCTAGGGTTCATTTGCAGAGTGAACTGAGGTAGAACAAGGAGAAGAAGCAGATCTTGAACGGAGAAAGGTCGGTTGTTGGGCCAAGAAGTTGTAGGGATGGGGTGGGTTGTTGTTGGGTGGAGAAGGAAAACTTGCACAGAAAAGAAGCAGACTGAAAATTCTAGGGATTTTTCCCCCAAATCGTGGAGTAGGAAGGAAGAGAAGAGATGGGAGAAAAAGGAGTGATATGGGATCATAACATGCCACGTTGGAGAATGCTCTTTTTATTGTCTAGTTGGCATGCCACATACTAAGGGGTATAATGGATTATAACGGACGTCATGTTAGACTTAACGGATTGTTAGGATCCCATCCAATTGGGTACTTATTTGAGAGTTTGCATGAGTTTGAGACGTTGATTGAGCATAATAAACATTGAGGACCTCAATTGAGAATTTGACAAAAGTTGAGGTCCTTTTCCAATACTTAAACCTTTAATAAATTTAAAAAATCATTAAAGACTTTTAAAGAATTTTACAGTGGGCCTTGATTTTAAAGTGTGAGAAACTTTTCTCTTTAGACAATTACATGACGAGAGGAAAAGACGTGTAGCTGCCGTATATGGTGTATTACTTTTGGACAGAGATTTTTTTTTTATATTATTAATTA